TTCTACTATGCATTCCTGCTTCTTACTCTCTCTCAAATGAGACACACAATCCCTAACTACCCATTGTCCAAAGGAGCTGTAGAGTAAAATAAAAGTTTTCTATATGGCCTATCTCCCAGTACAATAGTATATTTAGACTACACAATATTTGACTTGATTATTAAAGACATTTACTTAACTATTAGACAATGGGCAATTAATTTATTAATTTAAAATGTAATAAATCATGATCATTGGAAAATAATTTTACTATCATTATCAGCAGCAATGATTATTTAAGATCTGAGTAGCTATTTTTCATAAAGGAACAATCTAAATGAAAATTAGTAGCTTGAGCAATCTGGAGGAAAATCAAAGAGATGGAGTTAACTTTTTTTTTTTACAGCTCCGTATTTTAAAACTAAGCACTGGCAAAATCAAAGTGAGCACATTATTAGGTCTTGGGGTAAATGCTCAATGAACACATACATGTGCAGACATACCATTCTTCAGAAAAGGCTATGTTACATGTAGTTCATTTTTATATCTCTCCATTATATAGGCTAAATATTTTAACTCTCTTATGACTGAAGTACAACTGACTTAAAATCAGCTACTACAATATACACACAAGTATATATTACACACAAGATGGTAATTTACACTGACATACCATTTACCACTAGGGCCAGAGTGACAGATTTTTTGCAATTAAAAAAATGAAGAATAAGTGTATAGTGATTTTTTTCCTATGCTGATGTTTTGTGGTAGCTGTAATTTATAGTACTGGTTTTTAATACAAAATGCACAGAACCATTTATTTTCTAGTTCTACATATTATACTCATCATTCTTCGTAGTAATTTGTTGTGATTACTGGATATTGAAAATTATTTTCTATAGTCCAATAAATACAAATAAAAGAAATTCAGATTTAGGTTTCTAATAGAGCTCAGAGAAAATTGAACTTTAATTACAAATGTCACCGAGAAGTAAAAATATGTGCAGCCATCATAACAAACAGGAACTTATTATTTCCATTAAGTACTTGGGTTTACTTTATCTGGCAATTTACTACTGTATATCAAAGTTTCATTAAGACCAAATAACATACTTTGCAGCATGTTTATAGTTTTCCAAATCTTTCCTCAAGCGCATATTCTCAGCCTCAAGTTGCTGGTTGTGGGTATACACAGTTGGAACCAATCCAGTATCTTTGGCTGTGAACACACCTCTCTCTATGAGTTCATACCTAGTAGAAAAGAAACAGAGAGTTATTTTATTCCACGTTTCCTTTTTCTCACTTCACTAATGTCTTCTTTCTCATGCTAGCATTTACCTAAACTAGAATCACCAAAATATTTATCATCTCAAGGCATTTAGCTCTTATGATTATTAACAATTAGCAACAGTGCTATCCCACCACAGTGTTCTATTTTACTGTTTTTCATTCTAAAATGTATTATTGTCGTTCATAAGTCAAAAGACATGTCCTGTATAACACAGTTCTTCAGTTTAAACAATTACTCTTTTCCTTTCTTTCTTCCAAATAGCTTAAATAAAAGACAGAAAAAAAATTTCTCATTCAAATAACATGTCTATATACTCATAGTTCTTTTTATCTCATATGCTCAAATATCTGCAAGATTTTTTTTTTTTTTTGAGGACTCAAATAAGATGACAAAACTGCAGATAACTTGGATGAATGATCCTATGAGCTATCTTCAACATGGAGTACAGAGCTCACCTAGGGAAATTTCTTCATTTCTTCCTGTTTACTTATGTTGCCCTCTCTTTATTGAATTATATTTACCAATATTTACCTATCTTACCAGCCCCCAAGAAAACATGATTCCGTGATGTAGAAGCCTGAAGGCTGCTTTAGTTAAATACTTGTACAGACTAACTTGCATTTTGAGAAGTAAAAGAGAATCTGGAGCAGCATGTAATGCTGTGTGCTACCTAGGAATCGCTATAGCCCCTGGCAATAAAGTCTACTCAGTCAGTCTCATATCTTTTAGGACTATCCATCTTTTGGTAGGATGTCAACGAAGGCTAAGAATACTCTAGCAGTCAGTAAAAAGGACATAGGCATTGACACCATTCATTTTAGGCCTAATTTAAAGGCATTTAAACACAAAGCAACTGGAAGTACCCAAGTATCTTCCATTAAAAAAAAAAAAGAGCAGTGATATTAAAAAGGATTCAGAAAAGCTAAATTTCATCAAAAAATGTGTCACAACACAAAATAAATACTTCTGAAGAATCATGCCTGTTCCATGAATGATTATAAGCTATAAGGATTTGTCAAAGTATTTCAAAAGACACCAAGGTTCAAGTCTACATATACAAGCATAAGATACTTCTGTGCAAGCAGACATTGCAGAGGTGATTCCAGAATCCAGTACAAGTTTGTATAAAACATCTATTTCTTTTCTACTTCTGTCCTGGAAGACAGAAGAGCAAGACCTTCAGTTGGTACAAACTTTTATAGACTCACTGAAGACAACAACATTGTGCACTACTGTGGCCGCAATATCAGTTCAGCATAGATTCAGTGGAGCTATAAATAATTTATATCAGAAAAAGACTACAGCCGCACAATCTTCTTCCCTGCTGATCTTCACTGCAGCTGGAAGATGTTCTGGGTAGGAACTCACCAGAAGGAGTAATATGAACATTATTTGCCTTTTCAGGTGAAAAATATATTCAATCTGTGCATTTCTTTTTTCCCAACTAATAAGGAAGTATGAAAAGAACAGCCGTAATTAGAGATAAAAGTTATACTAAATGCTACCTCCTGCCCTTGGACACAAGCAGCAGATCTGAAACTTGAAGACAGTAAGTACAGCATTCCTAGATCAATAAAACATGTTGCAGAAACAAAGTGTTTGTAGAATAAGGGACTCTTACTTGACAAGCAACTTCTACTTAACATCCTCCAGAAAAATTAAGGGGAATGTTAGAAACTCTTACGTTCAAATGACTTCCCACAGTCAGCTACTTATCTGCAGTCTGTGGATACTTAGAGGAATGCTCATCCCTATGACTTAAGCTGTCACTCACATTCACCACCAGTAAGATTAAAGGTTTTTGAAAAGTTAAACTGAACATGTCCAAAGCAAAATTCATTCTATCATTACTGTTTTCTTAAGCAAATTATAGCAGCAATAGGCTTTAATACTAAGAAAGAAGCTTAGTCTCTTCTCTTCCCCCCCCGCCCGCCAAATAAACATTGCTGGATAAGCAGGTACAACTCCTATTGGAAATATTGCAAATAAGGGCACTTCTCATTGCAAATGACCACAACTCTACATAAATCATAGAATCGTTTAGGTTGGAAAAGACCTTTAAGATCATCCAGTCCAATCATTAACCTACACTACCAAGTCCACACTAAACCAATCAATACTTCTTTATTTGCCAGAAACATTTCTCCACTGAATGCTCTAACTGCACCTCATGAAAACGATCAAATTTCTGCACGAAGACACATCAGACATGGATAATTGATGAACCTAGCCTCTGGCAGAGCTAAGAAGTCTGAAAGACAATTTTAATGAAATACAATTAATAACAATAAATTCACTATGCCCTTGTCTAAGAACACTACTAAAAATGAAAGCTTTTGTGCATGCAACAGAAATGGAATAGAAAACCACACAACAAAATTGCATTGTGAAATCTCATTATCTTTCATCAACCTAGTCCTGTAAAGCTTATAGAACTCCTACATACCTAGCCAACTGCCAAATAGCTATTGTTCGCACTTCTTTCCATTATAGAAGGGAACTGTAATGCAAATTAAATTAGTTAGTTCCATGCACACACATGTATTCTTCTAAGCTTTTCAGAAAAACTGAGTTATTATTCTTGAATTGCTATTTAAAATTAATCAAGCATCTGGAAACCTAAGCAACAGATGGTCAACTATGATTTTATGATCAAAGTCCAGTGCAGAGCAACTAAAAATAATACATTATTACTATATATATGTATTACATTGAATTCAAGTTTCTAAGAATTCTAAAGGAAGCAGGTTGCAGAGAGGCCCTGCAATAAACTAACTGATATGTAGCTCAGGATAATCCTTTACCAAGGGGTAACTCACCTAGAGATGCATTCAGGGATTAAAATTTCAAGTTTTAGCTTTTACAAGAACTTCTTGCTGAAAATTATCGTTCCAATTGATAACCTCTTAAACAGTTTCAACAGAAGGCTAAGAAAGAAATGAGCACAGAAAAACAAAGCACTTTTTTTCCCTAGTGTACTCCTCTAATCTATTACGGCATATAAGTAGAAAACGTATATTATAATGTTATGCTTGTTATGTAGGCAAGAAAGTAGGTATGTCCACGTGGCTTTTTGCAAATCACACTTGAGGTTACTTCACTTGTGATCCGAGCCAGTTCTGATCCAGAAACTGAATCTGTTTTAGCATGATGCTGTCCTGGAACTGATAACCCTTGTTTCTCTCAGGACTTACGAACTTAGAGTACAACGTACATTAATGTGACCATATGATTTCCAGACCAAAAAGGACACAGAGCAGAGCAAACTTAGGTCTGCCTGAAATAAGCAGATTGTTTCCACTCTCTTCAGGGAGTTGTGACATGGAGGATTGCAACCTATATCCATTTTCTTCATTCTGCAAAAAGGAATTTTTTTGGAATGAGTCTACCTTTATGCTCAGAGAAGACACAGTATGTCTAGTTGCGTGTGCTCCATTATGCACAACCTAGACAACCTTTGCAAGGCGTACACAAGACAAACATAGCTTTTAACCTGGCTTGGTCATGTAAGTTTATTCATAATTTTAACCACATCAAATAGAAAAGAATTTTCAAATCATGTTTCCATAAATAGTCTGCAGCTCTCCTTTTACTCACAAGCTGCAACACTGCCAGGTCTCTAGGAACACTTAGTCAGAGATTACCAGTCCAATGAGTGTACTAACTAATCACAGCGATAGCTCCATACGTATGTGTGAACAGCAAATGATTCATCTGCTCAGGCTGGCAACATGCTGCCAGCAGCAGTGAGCTCTTTGGGATTAGGAGGTAGAGACTGTCAGATGCATGAATTTACAGTTGATCAGCCCTTGCACTTCACACTCTAAACCTGTCAATCCATATCTTTAATAAGCCACCAAAGCACTATAAAGTCTTGTATATCAAAGGAATAGAAAATTTAATGGTAAATTAGATATTCTAAAAATAATTCAAGTCTAATTTTAAGTTCCTTAAAGTATAACTGGAAGAAAAAAGTGTATGTGCAAAAAAACTACGTAAGGAAAAAAAGATCACTACAAATGTGGTAAAATTATTCATTACATCATAGAAAAAGACTAGGTTTGGCTTAAAACATGATGAAATCATGACATTTTATACAGCTGGATAAAATAACAGAATGTTTTCTCAAACTGCAATAAATACAGATAATTCAGTCCAATTTAAGTGACCTTTAGATTGCAGACAGACAATTATTTCAAAGCAAGCCTTTTGATAAATTTTCTCTACATTAATTAATTTCTCATTTTAAATTCCATTAGTACTTGATCACCACAGCATGAGCGAGCCTGTCGTCCCAATACATAATGAGGGACCTGAGTACACTAATCTGCTCTCACTTTCATTAATATTCTAAGTTATCTATTTCAAACCAAATTGAAACATTTTGAAATAAGGTATTAATGCAGCAAAAGTCTCAATACAGTAAGATTAGACCCTGACATGCTGAGCTCATTTGTAATATTAGTGAAATTAAAAATACTACTTATAGAGAAAAAAATATATGTATAGTAAGGATTTACAAGATAGGGCCTGCTAAGACCTGCTCTTGTTCTGTTAAAAAGCAATTTGAATTTTGCCATTGATATAAATTCAGACTCTAAGTGATTCAAAGGAAGCTGTAGTTTCATAAAAAGGTCACTATTTATATCTGTCTAGTATTAATTATCTTTTTACATAAAAACTGTTAAACTTCTTCAAACTTAATGCCGTTCATATCTGTTCTTTTGTTGAAAAAGAATACAGAACTATAGTGCTCCTTCTCTAAGAAATCACTTAAGTCACATTGTTATGCTATCAAAAACAGATCATTATTAATTCCAAAGGCAATGCCTGATTGGTGAGCTCTATGCTAATAAGACCACAGCCCTGCAAACAGCAGCAATGATTTCCCCATTAGAGGATATTTCTAAGAAAACGTAAAAGCCTCAAGGCTTTTGTAGGAAAAAATAAAATGTTTCTAACTTTTCAAATTTACTAATTTTCAAATTGAACAATTTCAAAAGACATTATTAACAAATCTCTGAACCTCTGATGTTTAAAGACTGACTACAAGATAATTCAGAGAGGTGTCTCCACTTCTCAGAATCTTTCCAATGTAACTGGCAGATTCAAAGCAAGCTTGTAACTGAAAGTATTTCAACAGAACTTTATGACAAGCACAATATTTTGCTCCAAAATAATTCAGCTCTCCTCTCAAGCTTTTGCAGCACTTCTAGCACATCATTCTTAATCACTATTTAAAAAAGTATACACCCTGTGGGATTCCGTATATGACTAGAGTGGTGGAAGAAGTGGAGTATTTAGACAAAGCTGCCTTTTAAATTTCTGTGAGGAGTATGGACAAAATCTCTGCAATCTATAAAAGCTGGGGCAAAGAAGATAGCAACAGCTCCAGAGTTTACTCTTTTGATTACTACATGAATTAAATTTTAAAAAGAAAAAACAAACTAACCAACCATATTATTTTGACTGATATACCAAAACTTACCAAATATCAAATATTGTGATTATTCTGCTTCAAAATACAAGGTACCTATGATGAATGTCCAAAAATACCCAAACAAGTAAGGTAAAAATACTATACCATACTACAAAACATTCAGTTTTTAGGCAGGCACCCAGGTTCAGGAAAGCAAGAAAATAACAAAGCCACATGATTTCTCAGCACCGCTGAAGTGAAATGCTGGTCATTTGGCATTGGACCCATTTGATCCAATGATGACTTCTGCACTACAGCTGGTTTGTAGTTTTCATTGGTAGTCAGTGGAGAGCAGAATATACTTGAAAAAATATAATTTAATTCACTTAATCTTAAAGGAGATGGCTTAAACAACTCAGATGAGTTGCATCCTGAAAACGAGTATTTCTCTTCTCTGGTCACAAAAGACACCTCTCATGTGGCCACTTCAGGCTTGTACATGCCTAGAGTTAGGTGAAATGCATACAGTCCTTCGAAGGTACCTGTTTAGGAGATCCCTGGAGTCAGCTTTCTTGAAAATCTGTCCTTAAAACAACAGTTTGCATCCTCAGTCTCAACATGAATATATTTATTTGTTAAAACACTACATATTTAAGAAGGACTTCTACTCAGAAGAGCTTTCTGGAAATATATCCTGAAATACTGGAAATACTTGAATCCTGAGCACCTACTTCCTAATTCTGAAAGTAATACGGGTCACTTAAAATATTTTACCATTCAGTTTGGAAGCAGTCAAGGGTTCTGGACATTCCCAATCTGACCAGGAAATTGCAGAAGAAGTCATCCATTGCTTCAGGTATTTCAGACACTGATTTCTCAGAAGTCAGTACTGATTGCAAAGCCTGAAATTAAAATTTGATAATTTTTATTAAACCTACGAGAGAAATGTCATTACCATACCTTCTATTTCTGAAGTAATCTAAAGTCATACATCCACTGGAGTACAGCTGAACATTTCCCTTGTCTTTATTGATCAGATCTATAATCACTGATCCTTCTAATGTCAAGGTCTGTGAAAGGTTATAGAGAAATAACTCAAAAAGTCACCTGATTTAAGCAAGTATTCTGAACCTGACATAATCTGATATGGACTTGAAACTATTTAAACTGATGGATGATCTTCTGTCACTGACCAGAGAGAAAATGTTAGTTCTCATACTCCTGCACCCTTCAGCAACCTTCAAAAGTATTCATGAGAAAAATCAGTACATCTCATGAAAAATGCAAAAGTCCAAGGTGATAGTAAAACAGCTGTCACGGTTTAGTCCCAGCCAGCAACTAAGCACCACACAGCCACTTGCTCACTCCCCTTACCCCTTACCCCAATGGGATGCGGGAAAGACTGGGAGAAGTAAGAATGAGAAACACTCCTGGGTTGAGGTAAGAACAGTTTAATAATTGAAATAAAATAAAATAGTAATGATAATAACAACAATATAATAATGATAATAACAATAATATACAAAGCAAGTGATGCACAATGCAATTGCTCACCACCTGCCGACCGACACCCAGACAGCTCCCGAGCAGCGATCGCTGCTCCCCAGCCAACTCCCGTCAGCTTATATACTGAGCATGATGTCATATGGTATGGAATAGCCCTTTGGTCAGTTTGGATCAACTGTCCTGGCTGTGCCCCCTCCCAGTTTCTTGTGTACCTGGCAGAGCATGAGAAGCTGAAAAGTCCTTGACTAGCATAAGCAGTACTTAGTAACAACTAAAACATCAGTGTGTTCTCAACATTCTTCTCATACTAAATCCAAAACACAGCACTATGCCTGCTACTAGGAATAAAATTAACTCTATCCCAGCCGAAACCAGGACAACGGCTTATATGCTTCTTGTAATGACGCATGCAACGGAGAGACTGAAAGAACTGCATCTCCATCATTAGATCTCTTAGGAAGTCTCACAAAGATCAGTTCTCCCTTTTCTTCTCAACACCCATATGCAGACGCTGAACAAAGCTGCCAGACAATATTGCTAAAAGTGTTAGCAGAATGCAGATGGTGCACCAAGGCTTCATATGCAGCTCCTCCACTGCCATCAAGATAGACAGCTATTCAGATAAGATCAGCTCGTGGGTCAAGCACCATTGCCAAAAGCAGAATCAAATCAAAACAGAGCAATCCTACTACAGAGGGAAAAAAAAAAAAAATCCCTTTCACAGCTTTCTGTTGCAATGCAAATTTCTTTCATTCACCCAACCCCACTCTGTGCATAGTGTGATATTAAGTTCTCCTAGAGAGATTTCAAGATGTAAGGAGATACGAAAAAAGTAAAATATGACCCAGTCTGAGACTACCACCTCCCCCCGCCCCCGCAAAATGCATTTGAAGATAACCAGATGAGAGAGACTGCCACAACTTGGCAGCCAAAGAGGTGGCCTTAATTCATTCAGACTTCAAATGGATTACAGTGATTTGACATACCTAAATATGAGGATCTCAGCATTTGGGAACTACACGTAGGCACTGTGCTACAATAGACTTGCTCAACACAGGCTAAGACAAGATACTGCATCTCCTGGTGAGAGGAGGACAGAACAAACCTGGGCTTGACAACTATCACTTAGTGCACTCTTGAAAGAAACTCAGATGCTATGATAATGTGAGCTACGTATTATTAAAAAAAAAAAAAACACTGTAGAGAAGAGGAACAGAAACAGCTTCCATACATGCCTACCTTCTTTTCTTCATTTCGGTACTACTAAAACTTAAAACAATTTCAGTGAGATATTCATCAAGACATACTAAAGGCTGTGACTGCAAATTATTTCCTCCATCCATTTAAAAAAGAATCTGTAGGTCAGGGATTTCTGATAACTGCATCCATTTATGGCTTATTCACGTCCTTAGTGGGAGCTCTATCAACATGACTGCATAAATTACCTGGAGATAAAGGAATTTCTCTTGATAAATTAAAAACACACAGCACTGCCTGCACTGGAAAAATCTCATAGCCATTTTGTATAATACAGAAAATGTTGTGTTTAATCCAAGCAACCCATCTAATATAAACATAAAGAATTGTACATGTACGATCAAGGCCATGTAACACTGTATTATGAATAATACAATATGCCAAGCACAATGTAATATTTAGCATATTTTCATTACCAGAGATACACTACATCAGACAGGTCTATTTTCTAATTGTGGTAATACAAGAACTAAAAAGAGTACATCTGCAGACATGTAGCTGCATCCCTTTTCTTGCTTCTTTTCTTTCTTTATTCTAAAAGAGGCAAATGTCTAATATTGTTAGTTGTAGTTTCCCAAACACATCTATAAAGCCAGTCTTCGGAAGAAATGACATAGCTTGATTCCCTTAATAAATGGAAATATGATAGGAATTCATTTCATCCATGCAGAAGAAAATTTATTAGCTAGATACTAGCACTGAGAATCATTTCAGGAACCAAAGCTCGAGCAGGGAACAATATACGGAAAAATGAATGCAGTCTAACAGGCACAGTATTGGAACAGGGCCTCAGGAAACCAGAACTAAATGCCTAGCTCTTCTGCAGACTTTGAGAGTGATATTAGGATAACCACTTTCTTTAACTTAATCTTAACCTTGGATGACTACCCACAGAATGGCATAACAGTAAGTTTTTGTATATACTTACCTATTTAGAAATGAGGAAAATACAATCTATAATTAATGTGGTGCAAACAGACACCCTATAGTAGCAATACAGACAAAAACACCTGATTAAAGGATTCTGACCATTAAGTCAAACTAAACAAAGTGTTTGCTTTGTTAAATATTTCTTGGTTAGATTTTCTTAATTAAAATCTTAAAAACATTTTGAGTGTAAGGATTGCAAAAAATAAATTAATTGCTAAGAACTTAACCTTAAGGACTTCCTCAATACTTGCAAAAATTTCTGTCCAATGAAGAAATATGAACACCAAATAAATTAATAATTTCTCTGGAAAACAAAATAAGATGTTCTTGCAAAATTTACTAAACTAAAAAAGAATACAAAAACTGAATTCAAGGCTTTTTAACACATTCAAACAAATTAAAAGTCAAACCTACGTTAAATATAAGGTTAATGAAAGACAAGGTAACTTCAGATTATCACTTGGGATATTAAGAAAATAAAGATCCTGGAATGGAAGTGTAATAGCTGTAACTACTGAAGGAAGTATTTCAGACAGCTTTCTTTTATGTGTGTGATTTTCCAGAAGTTCCGTATCCTTTTCCTAGGGTCCCTATCAGCTGAAGACTTTTTCATATGCAAAACGTTCTATTACTTGTGTTTAAAAATAATTTATACTACTTTACAAAGTCTCGAAACAAGGACAGTAGAAAAAAAAAAAATCAAGAGTTGCAACTGAAAAGGACAAATAATGACTAGAACAGGAACAGCAGGCAGAATCACTGCTATCCAAAGCATGTGTTGCCCAGCACAGGTGTGTTTTGAATCAGCTACCATTTCACCTCCAAACCAGGGGAAAATGAAACTTAGATTACAGCTCCATCACCCACATTTCCCTGTTGGGATCCAAACAAAAACATGAACTGTAACTGGTGAGGGAGCCTCACCAAACTCCTTAAAGACCACTAGTTTCACAGCACCTATGCAGAGATCCAGAAGGAAAGAAAACATATCTCAGTATCCCCTGTAGAAACATAGCTTTAATTCCTACACACCAATTTGATTTAAACAAACAAAAGGTGAATAGCACTTTCTGTCATTTGTTTATGTTTGCTCTTCTTCATTTAGTGATTAGTGCTAATTACTTTGAAAGGAAGTTTGAAAATAAGCATTTTTCTTAGATTTACCTGGTTATACTTGATCTTTTTACAGAACGTAAAAGAAACTGTAGTTACTATAAATATCCAGTTTCTAAATTGAGTATCTCCGTTTGACAAATCGCTTAAGTATTTTTGGATGCTCACTTGATCTGTGCCTTCTCTATATAATTTATTTTTGTAACCAAAAGATTTGTATCTAATACTGAAATGCAATCTTTAGTACAAGATTAGGTATACAAGTTACTACGAACAACAAATACACATAATCACTTGAAAATGTTTATCACAGAGTAGCTATTCCAGGATATGGTTATTACCTAATTTAACCTATTTTAGGCAAGATTAGAAGCTAATAATTAAAAAACTGTACCAATTATTTATCATGTGAATACAGCCTTCTACTGTGCTGCTTAGCTCATAGTTTGGATATTGATTTAATATTAATTCACAGGAAACAGTGCTTCTAACTTGGGTCACCAAAAGCATTCACTGCAGCACTTGGTTTTTTCCAGTGAATTAGCATTAAACAATCTAGTCACTGAGCCTCACAAAATATACAGTAAGTCATTATGAAAGCTGTCAAGGAACTAGCAAGTGTATTAAAACATTTTTCTATTCATGTCTTTCTGTCTGAAGGCTGGCAATATTATTTCAGTTTCAAAGTTATGGAAAAATGAAACCTCCAAATAATGAGTCAGGAAGCAAGAAGACAGACATCTATCAGCATAAGCACAAAATCAGAGAGAATTTGAGTTTAAGCACACATGTTCTTCTTTTAAGGAAAGGTAACACTTTCTTCAGTTTGATTAAATGGGATAGATATTAGCATATTGTTTCCTACTACTCAAAGTTCAACAAATCAACAAAGAGGTGAAAGATTATTTAAATGCAGCACTGTCAACTCACACAGTAAAACAGACATAATTTCAGTTATCCCTAAAGAACACTAAGAATTTCCACTAATTGGTTAACATTAAGCATGTTCAGTCTTTAAAACTTCTGCCACCTTTCCCTTAATTTTCAGGCATATGCAGTTTCAAATACCTAAGACTCCAGTATTGTCAGTTTTCATTCAAAGTTTGATCTAAAATACAAAATTGGTCTGCTGATACGCACTAGTGCAAAAGAAAATGCACATTTTTCCTCCATTTTAATGTTAAGAATCATTCAGATAATTTTATCTTTTCATTATTAATCATTTGCTTTTGCAAAACAAAGACTATAACAATAGCTTACTGATGAGGCTATAAGACAGTGGTGATATTAGAAACACAGCAGGGAAAAGCACTTTTCCATTAGATTGTTATAAGCAAGTAAATTCAGGTAAATTATATTTTGGAAAATGCAATATAACAATGCCATTGTGTAACACTGAACTATTACACGACTGTTTTGAAAACAATTTGTAAACGTAAGATGTTTCAAGAACTAATTTTGTGAAATTACTGATAATTTCATTAATATTTTGATTTAACATAGTTTAACAGCCCATTCTTTATTTTCAATATATGAATAATCTTCTTTAGCAAAGTATTCAAGTACAAGCTTCTATGCGTCTTAAGCACATGCAGTTTCTTTCCTGTATCAGGGATCACACTCTCATTCACACAGAAAAAGAAATAAACCCTAAAGTACTGATACATTGTAATAACATTAATCTATTTTAAATAATCTACCTATATATTTGTTACATGTATTTGCAGTATCAGGTTGTTTATGGAACATAAAATGACCAAAAGTTAAAGGAAGATGAAACCCAGGAAACTTTCCCAGTTGCCTTTTCCACTGTGGCACACATTTACCCCTAGAAAATTCTAAAAAGTAAGAAGCAATCTTTTCCACACAGATATTTCATAATTAAAATAAATTATGATGTAGAAACTTTAAGCCACTAATGCCAACTGAATCACAGAGAGCCTTAGAATGTTTAGGAAGTTCTTACTAAAATCTGGGCATCTTCAGCTTGCTCTTGAATAGTCTGCAAAGCTTTTGACAGATCCTCATCATCTTCCTGAAGACTAAATTCATCATCTGCTGGAACCTAAATGAAATTATTTAAAGTTAGGTATCAATATATTTTATAAATCTTTCTTTCAGAATACAACCATTTCCACCCCCAATACAACTACTGAAAATGATCTTGTTCTTGTTAAAATAATACGTTGCCATACTTAAATAGCATTTATATTACTGATAAACCTATAAATAAGATGAAACATCTAAATTGAAATATCTGCATCTTTTAAAAAGTATTTAACATTCAAATGAAAGTAAAACATAATAAATAACTGACACTAAATCTTCTCTTGAAAAATAAAGCTATGTCTAGGATCATCACACTTTATAAAAGGAGATTCATGTCATTTCTCCTAGGATGTTTTTCTGACTGATGAAGTAAAACAAAAGAATGAAACATGACTACTCTACCCACATATATCAGAAGATTATCTATTTAGTAAATTACCTCTTCATACTGATAATCTTCTTTAGAGTCATCTGTTATGGTAAATTCTGTAGATTTTGTTAAGTCTGAAACAGCTGAAGCATGAGATGAGTTCCAACTTAAAAAAAAAAGTATCACAAACCTACCATCTATAAATATCCTATCACCACCTTTGCCCTTGTTCTTTTTGACACAAGACTTCACACTTTCAAGGCTTCTTTCAGCCCTTAGATGAACAAGTCCAGCTCCAGTGAAAACTACATGCAGAGACAGAATTTAGATTCAAAGTTTTTATAGCAGGTCTGTTGTGGTTTAGCCCCAGCC